GTTCACCAAATGTCGGCCACTGACTTTTGCTAAGAAACCCTAAATACTTCTTGTTCTTCTTGACACAGAACCGTCTGTGTAAATGATCAAATTCTTTGAGTGACTATTATCTTGAAATAATTGCTAAATTTCCACCTCCGTTGCACCTGCTGGCCAGTCTCTGGATTACTAGATCAGTGTGTTCTCAGTATGAAGGCACTCAACTGATCTAATATGGTACAGAAGCGGCAATATAACACCAAATCTCACTGCACCTACAAGGTCACTATACTATTTTGTCCCTTTCGAGTGCGCTGAAGTGCAGCAGGTGAAATCGAAGCCTGGCTTCATGACCCACGTCGTCACATCTTCCGAGACTGTCTATGAAAGTAATGGGCTGAAACAATCGAAGGATCTCTCTACTGACGATCAGTAGACCCCTGCTGTGCATGTTCCAATGTGATGTTCTCCTTATGCTTTGTGTGCGGTTGCAACATCGGGCTCTCAGGCGGGAGACCTGCGGTCGACACACGAAATGGTGATGAGGTTTTTCTGTCAGGGGGCAAAATTAAACATCCTAGTCTGCACAGTCTCTGGCGACATCACTTGCCAGGTAGTCCTAAATCCTCAGGCTCAGGCTTCTCCGCCCCCTCCCCCTCCCTCAACTCCCCCGTCTAAACAGCCATAAAAATTGGTTAAATAGACAGTGTTAATTAATATCAAGTTCAATTAAATATAATGCTTTCAGGCAGATTTGAATACATGATTACATACGACCGTGCTATAAATTGGTGGTAGCACATTGTTTAAAGTTGAGTGTTAAAGTGTTTGTTTTATGCATGTGAAACATGGAGAGTAAGCAGCCAAGCATACAAACATTAACACGCGGCAGAGATGCGGTTTCTGAGAAGAATACAAAGATCATGGAGAGATAGAAACATAAATGAAGCAGTCATTATCGAGACAGATGAGAGTCGACAACTTCTTAGAATGTTTTTTAAAGCAGTTAGGTGTAAACAGTGGGTATTGTGTGGACATGTCATGAATACAAGAAATGAACTTGAGTACTTGCTAACAACTAGCAAGTTTGATGAAAAGAGAACACAACGTAGGCAAAAAGATAGATACATGGAAGACCTGCTTAGAAGGATAACAACATTGAACTGATCCCTCGTTCTGGTGATCGTGTGAGATGACGAAACATGACAGCCATTGCTTTCCGACACAGACCTTGATGATGATGATGATGATAAACACATGTTAATGATTTAGTTATTCACGTTTAACGTTATAAATGTTTTCCCAGGCGCACCCACGCTCAGTAATCTGTCCCTGACGTTCGCCAATTACGTGCTTGCTGTCGACTGTCCCGTCTTGCGAATGGAGCGTATCAACAATGTAACTGCGGACTTCCACTGTAGCCTCACGCAGAAGATAGATGAAATGGTTCTAGAGGGCGACTCTGTTGGTCATCTCTGTTCCATCTACGTTAGCGGAGGTAATGTATACAGCTGCATGACTCTAACAAAACTTTTACCTGAAGTTTCTGACAAATCTACACACAGCCAAATATAGCTTAGACTAGCTGGGTTGTTGAACTCTAGAATCTCTACAAAGGTGCTTTCAAAACTGCGTTTCGCGACAACTATGTTGTTATAAGCAGCGTGACAGTGTGCCCTGCAAAGATAGATCGTTGAAGGGTATATTCGGCAATCAACGTTAAACTGTTACCTTTAGCCTGCTACTCAAATGAATATTTCTCCATATATATATATATATATGTGTGTGTGTGTGTGTGTGTGTGTGTGTGTGTGTAAACAGTAGATATATATATGCCAAAGCAATGTTTCCCCGTTGTGAATTTGAACAAAGAAGACACAAAGAATAGACTGGACAATTTATTGCCTTGTATATTTCGCTGCATATATTCATGTGCATACTACAGTAACAATTGATTAAAATCGTCTACATTTATGAACTGTCTGATTCACCAAGGTAACCGTAAGCTAAATACCATTTAATTCTGTCTGCAAAGTTCTGGTTTTCACAGGCTGATCGATGACCCTTTCGCATATCTTAGTAATCTACTGTTGGTCGAATTATAAATAATTCGAAATGCATTAACATTGTTTGCAATGTACCCGGAATTTGGAATATGGCACGCAATTGCTGATGATGGATTATGTCGACCAGTCACCTGATTCGTTGTTGCTGAGGTGTTAGTGTTTTGCATTGCTTTAACCACCAATGTGTTCAGCAACCCGTTTCTCCAATCATCGATCAGTTATACCCACATATGCGGCGTTACAGATGCATTTAAACTGGTAAATACAATTAGGTCTGGCGTACGTCGACACCGGTTCTTTTACCAGTGGCGAAGGACTCTTGCTGGTTAGCAGTCTCATAACATACATGGCTGCTTAAAAACGTTTGACCGACTGCTGTTCTGATTCGGTCATATGCACCTTGCATTACATCCTCTCCCCGAAACGTTAGATGGATGTAAACTACACGAGAGTTTTTTTTTTTTTTTACAACTAAAGATGGGCAAAGGATACAGTCTCTGTCCACAGATCATTCCTTTAGTCACAACTTGCCCCATTTTCCTTTTTTTTTTTTTTCATAACATGGCCAACAAAAATGACGACTCGAGTATCCTTTACAGGACGTTTCAGTAGTTTGCCATTGCCATGAACGGTCAGCTCTTGGTACTACCACAATCAGTCCGCAGCTATGATCAAACCGGGCACCCCGGCATTACGAAGCACGTTCGCAACGCCTAAGCCACAGACGCCTACGTGTGTGTTCATACAGCATATGCTAGTAACAGTAAGAAAAAAGTAATGTAAAGTAATGGACCTTTTATCAGCCAGCATAAGCGTTTATTTTTATTTTTCATATAACAAGTTAGTTGCGTATCCTTTACAGGACGTTGCAGAGCCAACCCTAACAGCCCCTGGCTGTTGTGTGGCCTCTCTAGGCAATTTACGTCCAGTAGTTTGCCATTGCTTTCTGGACGGTCGGCTTTCTTGATACCACTGTAGAAACCAAAGCAAGGCCCATTGCCCGCAGCTGGGATCGAACCTGGCATCCCGGCATTACGAAGCGAAGCGTTCTCATCGACTTAGCCACAGAGTCGACTTATATTTTATATACCAGTCGGCATTCGATAGGTTGTACAGTCAGCAACATAACACCCGTATTTACTTCGGAGTACGTGTCCTAGTAACAATGTTTTTGGCTGTATAGAGCTTGGAAGACAAGGAGACATTTCTCCCCCACCCCAGCCCCCAACAGCCCCCCCCCCCCTTTTTCGCAAGTGGTAATTTTTACAGAATTACACAGTTGTCGTCTACAACCTTGCCAAAGTAATATATTCATATGCACGGCAATGATTCAGCACTTAGGTTACTGGCGTATGTCAGTTGTACATAAATGTATTTTATGTGTCTAACTCACAAGTGCAGTGTATTCTCCAACATGTTATGTGGTGTTTGTAAAGTCTTTCTACACTTTGTCTGTACAACAAATTTTAAGAAAAAAAAAAAGAACAACTTGGCGTCATTAAAAACGTGCATCGTAATCAGACGTGAAGCAATGCGCAGTGAATGGCAGTAGTCTGCTGGAGTAGTTCTTTGGACTGAAAAAAAAATTCTTTTCAATGTAAGAAATACAGTTTTTAATTAAATAAACGTTTCTAAATGACAGTCGAAGCACAGGAATTGTTGTTCAAAGACCTGTAGAAAAATGCTTTGAATTGGGTACTGAAAAAAAAAAAAAAAGATTCGTAAAGGTATAATGGCTCAAAATAGGTTAAATACGTTTCTTGCAACGGACATTTCAGAAGAATGATCTCAGTCTAGTAGACTTGTTGTGTTTGACTAAAAGTGTCTAGATATCAAGACAAAATCCTAAAAAATCCAGACAAATCCTTAAGAAAAATGTCGCAAAAAATGAACGCAAAATAAAACCCGAGGTGGACATTTCCAACCCATGTTATGATGAATTGTTAAAATATTTTTTTCGTACTTCACAGCTTCTGCAAAACGGCGTCAGATCAGGACAGTAACTAATGCAACTAGTTTAATTACCTTGCATAAGCACTTTTTCGCGGCGTCATTGTACATCTGTTTTTTTTTTTTTTTGTTTTTTTTTTATAATTTATATTATGTATGTATATATACCATCAGGTGCTTTGCCGACTGGCGTGGGCGATCATGCCTCTCCATAATCTGCGATCTCCTGCAGCATGTATAAGTTCGTGTGCCGACACACCTCCATGCCATGCAACACGACTGTCAAGCATTTTCTCTCGTTGTCTTCCTCTATATCTCCTTCCACATATCTTTCCAGTGGTCACAACATGTTCTATTTTCCCTCTTCTCGTAACATGAACGAAGAATGATGACTGTCTCCTTCTGTCTATGATAAGTTGTCTTCGGGCTCCCGCCTCTTTCAAAACCTCTTGGTTGCTCTTTTTGGCGGTCCAAGGTATTCTAAGCATTCTTCTGTAAAACCACATCGCCGAGGCCTCCAGAAATTGTTTGGCCTGCCTACCGATTTTTCAGGATTCACAGCCATATTTTAAAACTGAATGAATGTTGCAAGCAAGAATTCTTTTTCTTACTCTCAATGACAAGGATATATTGCACAAGATGTTTTTCATTTTATAAAATGTAGTTTTTGCCTGTCCTATTCTGTTTCTTATCTCAGTTATGCATCTTCCATCTGATGTTATCCATGTGCCCAGATACTTAAATTTCTGCACTTGTCAAAAAATAACACCATCAACTTTTATTACACACTTAGGAATAATTTGTTTCTTTGATACCACCATTACTTCTGTATATATATATATATATATATATATATATATATATATATATATATATATATATATATATATATATATATATATATAATTTTAATGTGTTTTGCATGCAAAGTGTATTAAGACTTTAGCAACAACCTGACATAAAGTGTTCATGATGTTAACAGTTATAAAGTAAAATCTCGAACAGGTCGTAATGTGGCGCTGAAGGAGCTCACATTTCAAGATACAACTTGTAAAGAATGGATCACCGGTCTCAATAGGATCTTCTCATCGGACAAGGCGGTGGATGGCAACACTAATAATCATTTTTACAGAGGCTATAGCTGCTCGAAGACTTCCAATCGTTTGCCGTCGGCATTTCCTGTCCCCACCTGGATGGTGATATTATCAAAGGAGTATGCAGTCAATAGATACGCCATATACAATAGAGGGGATGGTATGTATATAGGCAATAGAACATGGTACCTAGGCACCCTTAAGGCCCAACCCTGTCCCCTCAAACCCAAAAATGTCCGTCCATTCGTTTGTTCGATCGACGTTCTCTCTTCCAAGCTCGTTCCAGATTTTCTTTAGTGCGTCCTGGTGTCATTAGTCTCTCCCCTGTATTTCCAGATTAGTGTAGTTTGCAGTATTAAGCCACCTTCTGTATCTTATAACTCTGATTTCTTTTTCACTCGTGTATGCATTCCAATTTAATGATTAACAATTTTATCAGGCATTCGCTTTCAAATGCATATAATTTTCGACCCACACTTACGTTATGCATAAATATATGTTTTTTTTAAGCTCCTAGTACATTACCTGTGTGTGTGTGTGTGAGTACACACACATAGAATGTGTAAATATATAAATGTTGATTAAATGGGGTGGGATGTATCTTAATGAATGTGGTTTCCAATTAAGATAACATGTATAGCATCCATGGGTAAGGGATAAAAAGCAGCCATAGTGTGTTACGTTATAAATTTAGTTATGTTCTTTTAACATGTCTAATACAAGGTTGTAGGGTCAGTGGCAGACCTTCGAAATGTAACTAGGGCACGCAGGTTTTCTTTCTGTGAGAACCACAGTTCTAGAAAATCTGTAAGGAAACTAACAGACTCCTTAATCTGTCAGCAGGTCCTTTACAGAACGTTACTTTCTTTATAGCACACCTGAAAGTCTCTCTTTATCTAGCCAATTCCCCAGTCCTGAGTGCATTAATAGCCAATGCCTCAGTGCTTTATTTATATACTACCCCAAACAGGGAAAATCCACAGGTCACGGGGTAGTCTAATAATTCAGGGGGTGGTAGATAGGCTACATACAGCCTTTGACACAAGGTTAGGGGGAAGTGCCGCAATGCCGTTGATATCGCGTGTTGTATATTTCAACACGCCAGCGCGTGTAACACTCCACAAACATGGACACACTGGGTCTAACACAACCTATCTAGAGAGTGCTGCAACCTATGTCACGGGCATTCTTTCTCGAAATAAAAACGTGAATGCAAAACAATATAGAAAGCGAACAACATAGCGGCCCAACTGTAAACTGCAGAAAAGTAGACCAGCCCAAAAAACTTAAAAATGAAACGTGACTCATTTTGTTTGCATAGACTAACTTAAACCTAACCACCAAGCCCCAGCTCGTATTGACCCATTCCCTTGTGAAATACTCTTGTGGCGTCACTGGGTTTCCCACATCAATACAGAGTACATGTGGGTAAGTGTGTGTAATATGTGTGTAATGTGTGTGTGTGTGTGTAATATGTGTGTAATATGTGTGTGTGTGTATATATATATATATATATATATATATATATATATATATATATATATATATATATATATATATATATAGCTATTATGTAGCGCTAGACACTCGCCTGTTAATCCAAAAGTCGTGGGTTGAAATCCGGAATACTTCCTGCTGTATCCACCTTAAAATGGGTACCGGCTAAAGTAGTGGAAAGAAAAAGTCAAACAGCATGATGTTCGCCACATAGCCCACCCATCGCCGACAGGTCAATAAGAGTAAAGTAAGTAAAGTAAAAATCCCTTTTCACGCCTTAGGCGCATCGGGTAAATGGGAAGAGCGTCCCATATCTTTACAGACCAATCGGCACTGCAAGGGTAATGTGGTCAGCATTACGCCGGCCGTCTTTACTTTCCCAGGACAGCCATCCTGGTACCCAATTTAGGCTGGGTCGACGTGCGACGCCCCATACCAGGATAAAAATCCACGCAGCCCGCAGTGGGTTTCGATCGCGGTACGTTAGATTACGAGTCAAACTCATAACGCCTAAGCCACAGACGCCGCCAATAAAAGTAAGTCTAGCACTAAATGCCCACATTCGTTACTTTAAAATTGAAATATATAAAAATTACAGATTTGTATTAGCATTATTTTTATTGTGTTTTTTTTTTTTATTTTATTTTCCAATAAAAGCTTCAGCATATGAACTGAGGGGTTTTAAATTACATAGCTTCGACTCCAAAAATAACTCAGTCTTTGAATACCGTGACACGAATCCAAGAGTTAACAGAGTCTACATGATCTACCATCCGCCTCTACCTGTTGGTAGTGTCGCGGTGACTGTCAACAACTCGTACAGAAGTCTGACCCTGTGTGAGGTCGAAGTTTACGGAGGTAATGTGTCGACTGCCGTTTCAGTAAATGTGTTTATTTTCTGCGGTTCTGTAGTATTTTCGAATATTAGTTTTGAGTATCCAGACACCATGAGGCTCGGTACTATGGATATCGCAACCCTTCGGCATTGATTCTATGATAGGTACCCTAAATCTATGAGAAATGTGACTTTTCTTCCTACCCCAGGGAGTGAACCAGGACCACAAGGAGTTCGTCACCCGGTCACCGTGAAGTCAGGTTTAAACCAACTACGCTAGCGATCCTAGTTATTATGTTAAATCCGTATCTTTTTCAAGACGTTGCAGAAGTGATTAACACAGCATACAACGTTTGAAGGAAGGAAACATTTCAGATCATCACACAATCATTGAAGCAGACAGTGACACTGGAGTGGTGAGAATGCATGGTGTGAGCTGCATCCGATAAGTGAAGGAAAGGGTCCTTTCTAAATGTTTTCAGGCGTATTGGGCATATAGGGATAGACCTATATATTTTTAAAGCCCTAGGCCAGGGAAGATACACTTGGCGCCACAATAAAGTCCTTAAAGAGTTACAGGATATTGTAGACCAAGCTAGGATGAGGTTCCAATGCGAGGGCCACTCCTACCGTCACCCCCATGGGCTTCCTCAAGGCCGGACAGATTTATAATGGTAAAATCATACGCTCCATAGGTATTTCACTGCGAAGGACTGGTTACTGGCTGTCGACCTACCAGAATTAATCCGGAAGACCGGCTTGAGACATGACATAGTCCTACACTTTATGGATAAAGGCCAGCTCAACCTGATTAAGCTGACCGTGCCGTATGAGTCGTGAATGAACGAAAATCACACGTTCAAGCTCGAGAAGTATGGGGATCTCGTGGCCGGTCTGAGGAGAGACGACGTGTACTCAGTAATAATCGTTGCCGTCGAGGTAGGCAGTAGAGATCTTATCTTCACTTTCATGGGCAATGTGGTAAAGCAGCTGGGCTTGCGAGGAAACGAGCGTAAACGGTCACTGAAACATCTGCGCGAAACTGCTCAAAGAGCTTCGAGCTGGCCCCGGACGCAACTGAACTTAATTAGGGATGGGCCTCTATAGACTGGTCCGAGTCTCTAGAGGAACGGAACTTCTTATCCCTTAAAAGCCTAATGTCCGAACGATGTCTGCCAGTGTCCCTCTGCTAGTTGCCAAAGTCTTACATGTGTCCGATGAACTAACCGTAAGCTTGTCACTTTGTTGTTTAGGTAACTGACTGGTCTAATTGGCTACCGCAGCGACTATATATATATATATAATTATATATTTAACTTGGAATCTCACAGTACAGTTGAAAGTCACCATTTCGACTTGTCCTTGTCCGAGAACATTCGGTAAAGTGCAGCAGTAGAAGATCAAGGCCTGGGTGTCATGACCCAGGTCAACCCACACTCTCAAATTATCTATGAGGTAATGGTCTGGTCATCTAATAATATTTTTTGAAGACTGTCTGCTACCGAAAGGCCTGCAGCTGTAATGGAACCCAGCACCTCGCCACACCGGCTTTACGAAGAGCGTAAACAATACCCATAAACATATGCCGACATAGTAGCAGTTTGAATATATAGCCGCGAATGTAGCCAATTTATTAACGAGCTCAAAGTATGTCTAGAGGGCCTTCGGAACGTTCTGTCTTAACGTGTTTCCTTTGTTGTCTTTTCCCATATGGTTCATGGTCTACTTCATGCCCTGTTTGCTTCTCCTCTTCTAGAGTATACCTTGAATGATATAGCGTTACAGTGTATTCTTTCTAACTATACATAATGTAATTAAATAACTCTCTCAACGTTGACCTTACTCGACCATTGCCTCCTGTTTTCTTCTTCTCTCTTAATGTATGTTATGTATTGGTATGCCGTTAAAAGTATTCTCTCTAAACAATGCACAATATAATAAAATAACTCTCCCAACGTTGACCTCACTCGACCATTGTCTCCTGTTTTCTTCTTCTCTTCTATTATATGCCTTGTGTGGTATGCCGTTACAGTGTCTTCTCTCTAACTATACATAATGTAATAAAATAACTCTCCCAACATCGACTTCACTCGACCATTGACTCCCGGTTTCGTGATCCTGTTCCCAAGTGGCCATGTAACTTCCTACATGTAAAAACATCCCTTCTGTTACAGAACTGGTGTGTGATGGTCAGCGCTACGGGCGTGACTGTGAAAATCTATGTCAGTGTCCGAACGGCGATCCCTGTTTTGTGAGCACTGGTGGCTGTCCTGCTGGTGGCTGTCCTGCTGGCTTCGGCGGCCCAGGGTGTTTGTCAAGTAAGTCCTCATGAGTGTCTATGTGTTACAGATTGACCTCACGATTATTAGTGCGTGTACCTAGCTTTCTCTCTCTATCTCTCTCTCTCTCTCTCTCTCTCTCTCTCTCTCTCTCTCTCTCTCTCTCTCTCTCTCTTTCTCTGTGTGTGTGTGTGTTTCTCTGTTTTGCACTCCTCTTGTTGTGTGGTAAAACACACACACACACACACATTCTTTCTAGATGCCCAATTTGCATGAACCTGTAGGAAAGGATTCCCTGCTTTACAGTCCCCTTAGTGACAGACTCACTGATGTTCAGAGTCTCGTAACCAAAATCATTTATGACGGAGGAGAGTTGGAGATTTGGATGAAAGTTAACTGGGGAGATCCATCTACTAATTATTCTTACTTACTCTGCCACACTTGTTGCGATATGTCCCTCTGTATTGAGTCAGTTTCTCCTCGTGTCTCATTTTCATAATCTATGCTGAATGGGTGGTCCTAAGAAGAATGCATGTGTGAACAGACTGA